ACGTAAAAGTTAGTAAAGCGTTAACACTCATTTTATGTTGTCACCTAAATGACTTTCTTCTATATTCTTAATTTATTTGATGTTATCTTAAGTGTATAAATGCTTTGAATACAAATCTAAAACAGGAATTGCCAATAAAAAGCATACGAATTTCTCACTGTGTGGCCAGTTGAGCCAGTTACTCATAAGTGTTGAAAGGCAGAGGTAAATGCTACTATATTCAGACAGACATTTACAACATTATGGTCAAGTGACAGTTTACCAGTGTTGATCAGGTAAAGTAAGCTACATTAGTTTAACACAATCATAACAATGAACACTACAACAAATATGTTTGCATTATTCAAGTAAATTATATACTATCAAGAGCTATGGGTAGCTAAGGTGTCAAGTAATCTTTTTCTATCACGAAGCATAACTTTACATAGGAGGATAAAAACTCGATGTTTATGTCATGGAAACAATTTCTATCAAATAATGTAGATGGGACTTGAACCAATACTATTATAACAGCAGTGCATTCCACATTTTTTAATTAACCGCTTTTTTTTCAAATAATCCACAAAATATGTTTTTTGTTGATTTTATAGTCGGTTGGATGGAATCATTTAGTTGAGAAATCGCTTCATAAGGACTGGACTATTGATTGTCAATCTGAGAATTTTACAGTTGTATTCTACACACCACTCTTACTACTGTAACCTGTAGTTTATTGATTTAACCAGTGAAATTTAAATCAAATGGTTGCTTAACAAAGTTAAAGGGACCATGTAGTATCGCTGCGGCTTAAAAATGTCTTTATGGATATTTATTTGCCACAGCTAACTAGCGATTTATTTCTTCCAGACATATACGTCTTAATAGTATTGGTAGTCTGAGATGAGGAGAAATACTTTTCCTCAACATTCTATCAAAACATTTCAGGATTCAGTCAAGAGAAGGTAGTAAAGTTGTCTATTTTTAGTAACACTGATCAATGAATTTAGAATTATATCGTGACAGATAGAGAGGAGGAGATGAGTGGACAACGGATGTGGAGAAAAAGGTGTTTTCTATGCAAACATACTCAACAAATTTTTTCAGCTAATTGATAATAGCCTAACCTATTAACCAATTACTGTCGACTATTGATAAGAACGTACCATTGACTTTATAGGTCTCTATTTTTTACTATTTATTGTATGGTATTGGAATTATTTTTTCCAATGAAGTGGGAGAGAAGATCAATGATAGTAATATAAACCTTTACAGTGTTATTGTTGTTATCATCATCATCATTATTTTTAGTGATAATAGTGTTTCCCTATCCCCGGTGTGTAACAAGATAATTCTTCTTCCATTCTTTATTTTATCTATTTATTAAAGAGTGAAAATTCTCCTATTGTAACCATCTAATTATGTCATAAAATAGGAAATAAAGATAAATCAACTGAATCCGTAGTCAACTAGTAATTATAAATCGATGAAAAAATCAATTAAGCAAGTTGATTGTATTTTGACAAATTAAGGACTAAGGTTATGTGAAGAAAAAGAAACAGCAACGATGAGAATTAATGAAATTATCATTTTGAATATATGAGATGGTGGTGGTTTAGCAGATTAGTATTGATACTGGGAACCTCACCTGGTTAACTAGTTCACCAGTTACTAGCCTGTCGTAAGCCCGGGTAAAGAGGGAAAGTTGGGCATAGGGCTAGCAAACCTAACCCGGAAAACAAATCCAACCGCTAAAGAAACTTCAAAGCACAAACGAAATACAAAAAATAATAACAAAATTATTCCTGGCTGGAATCGGAGAGGCGGAATGACACCAGTTGGTGAAAGCCTTCAGGAAGCCAATTGGCCAATGTGTTTTCTCTCTATGAAAGCGAAAGTAAGGTTGGGGACATAGAATGTCCGCATAACGTTTGAAGCTGGCTGGTAAGGCTGCTCAAATTGCAAAAGAGACGAGGAGACGTGGCATGGAAGTGCTTGGAATCTGTGAGAGCAGTTAAGATGGAAGTGGACTATCCAAACTGTCAACTAGAGAGCAGTCAATAATCTACTCCAATATTGTCACCTAAACGATAAACCCTAGCACACTGAGTTTTGGAGTAGCTATCATGATGTCCACAAGAGCATCGAAGGCTCTTATGCAGTGGGTGTTAATCTCCTCCTACAGGATCACATCGTGACAGCGAGATTCAACTCAAAAGGAGGGAAAGTCACAATCATACAATGCTACACGCCTACAAATAATGCAAATGAAGAGAAGAGGGAGGAATGCTACAGACAACTGCAATCAGTGTGAGAAAAGACTCCACTTGGTGACATCAAGATTCTAATGGGTGGGGTGACGTGAATGCCAAACTGGGAGGGGACAACATAGGAAGAGAACTCATCATGGGTCAAGAAGCGCTCGGATAAATGAATGAGAATGGAGAATTGTTTTCAGACTTCTGGGCATTCAACGATTTGATGATAGGAGGCAGTGTGTATAAACACAGGGATTTTCACAAAGCGACATGGATTTCGCTAGACATCAGAACGCACTAAAACTCAGATCGAGTTCATCTCAATGTGTAGAAAGTGGAGACGCGGCCTACTGGACATAAGATCAGATCAAGAATGGGAACAGATGTAGGTTCTGACCACTCACTGTCTAGTGCAAGGAACCTTCAAAATCAAGTTACAAACATTGAAAGAAGTTGGTGGTAGACCACAATTCAAGTTCAACACCCAGAAACTGAAGGACAAAACTACAGGGGACATCACGACGGCTAGCTATCAGGACAAAATGGGAGACATTGAGCATTATCCCTGAAGGATCGGGCGTGAAAGGACACTGGAACTCTTTGAAAGCTTTGTGGAAAGAAACCTGCATAAACGTATTAGGAAGGAAGAAGGAGCAAGACAAGGAATGGATCTCGAAAGGAACATGGAAGCTGATAGAGGAGGAGGAGAGGAGGATGGTTAAGCAGAAGATGAGCCAGTGCACTGAAGGGATGAACAACGAAAGAGAAACTAAATGCAGCCTGTAAAGCACTACACTGGACAAAGAAGTGAAGAAGAGTGTGCGCAAAGACAAAAGACACTTCTACGACACAGTGGCAAGTGAAGAACAGGCTGCAGGCAGCTGGTAGAAGAGAAAGACCTGAAAACACTGTATCAGATTACCAGGTTACTAATGGGAATAGATCAGCGCAGACGTAAATAATGGAAGATAGTGAAGGAGATCTGGTTACCAAAGGGGAGGAACAAAGGAAACAATGGCTGACCACTTCAAAAAGCTCTTGAATCGACCACCACCTGACATTCGTCTAGAAATACCACCAGCAGCCCAGCTACAGAATTACCAGTGAACACAGGCCGTCTGACAAAAGCAGAAGTCATGAATGCCATAAAACTGCTGAAATTGGGGAAAGCAGCATAACCAGATGGAATTCTGCCAGAAGCGCTGATGGCAGACGCAGAGACAACAGCAGACATGCCCGAATCACTACTGCAGAAAGTTTAGAAGGAAGGAAAGTACCTGGAGATTGGAAGAAGGGCTGCCTTGTCGAAATCTCAAAGAAGGGAGACATAAGCCTTTGCAAGAACTGGTGCGGAATCATGCTGGTGTCCACCACTAGCAAAATATCATGCCGTATCCTGCTGAAAAGACTAAAGGATGCGCTGGATTGGAAGCTACGATCGGAACAGGCTGGCTTCGTGAAGAACAAATCATGTGCGCATCAAATTGCAACGCTACGCATCATCGTAGAACAAAGTATAGAACAGCATTCAACTCTAATGTGGCATGAACTAGAAGATCTACGGGCGAAAACTAACAAGTTGACAGAAGAAGTAGCAAAGATGGGACTTCAAGTGAATATAGAGAAGACGGAGGTGATGAAGATACTCACCCAACAACAGCATCAACAACAAGCACCAATCACCGTGAACGGGAGAAACCTATAAGAAGTTGTCTCTTTCACCTACTCACCTAACTAGACAGCATCATTTCAACTACAGGGGGCGGTACAGACGAGGATGTGAAAACCAGGATCGGGGAAGCAAGACAGGCTTTCATTAATCTGAAATCAGTGTGGAGATCTACTGAACTCAGCACAAAGCGTGAACATGATCCCGATTTTCAACACTAATTCAGTCAAGTCAGTGCTGCTATGTGATGGTTCAGAAGCTTACCGTGTGACGAAAAGCATTTCCAACAAACTACAGACATTCATCAACAGCTGCCACCTACGCTCACTCGATACTGAAGATCAGATGAGAAGGCCAGGAAGAATAAGCAACAAGGAACTCTGGCCTGCCAACAAACCAACCAACAACCTATCACCCAAAAAATATTCAGAAGAAAGTGGAGGTGGCTTGGATTTGGCATACACTGAGAAGGCCGACTGGGGACATCACGCACCAGGCCCTCGAGTGGAACCCAAAGGGGAGACGATGAGTTGGGCGTTCGAGGCGAGGGTGACATGGAGGAGATCATGTGAGGAAGAAATGAAAGCTTGTGAGGAATCGTGGAGTGAGGTTGAAAAGACTGCAGAGAAGAGAGTGCGATGGAGGTGTGCTACTCAAGCCCTATGTTCCACTAGGAAACCAAGGGAAAACTAATAATATTAATTATATGTATATATATACATGTCGTAAATAGAGTTTCATAATGGATACCAGATATCTTGGAATTCAGATGCTTAGATTCCTTCTAAGTGTTGAATTCCACTGATTAATAAGAAATAACAATCTGAAAGTCGAACATTATGCATTCAGTGAATCAAATTTAGCTATCTATGGTGTCGATTGTTTGTTGTGAATCATTTGGTAGACACACCAATCAGGTAAAGGGAAGCTAGGAAGATTAAAAAATCAAATATTATGTTTCCATAAAGTAAAGTTATACATGTTCGGAATACTACCAAATTACTATTGAGAATTTTATCTCTGAAATTTGAACAGAAAACTGAGGAAATGAAGGTAATCTTAGGAATGAATAAATATTGGAAATGGGAATGTAAATGTCAAATATGCAAAACAAATATCATAAATATACGTAGGTGGATATAATTAGATTGAGAAACGATACTAACAAACCTATAAGGTAAAATATATACAGAGTATAGTTGATAAAGGATATCAAGTCAAACTGTGCATAGATGAAGGTGAAGATATATGTGTTTCATAAACTAGAATGAGACAATGTGTTTGGTAAATGGAATATCTAGTATAGTTGGGCAGTTGGAAATTCACAGTAGCATGAGTAAACGTACTTGTAGGCGTACGGGTGTATAGGTGATATTTTTCAAACCGAATCTGCATGTGTGTCTGGAGAAGTCACTCCAGTCACGTCGATTCATAAGTTGATGTTGATTATAGTTGTTTGCGTGACCACTAAGTACAACATGAAGTACAGAATTTCTAACTGATTCTTGGTTATGATACTTCTTAAGTTTATTTCAAGCAAACATATGTCAGTGATAAAAATCACTTCAAAATACTCTGCTGAAATCTTATTTCAAAACCGACCAGTACTACCAACATTGTCAAGCAGATCTGACTCAAGTGTGATCTCTAATCAAACAAAAGTTCAAACGAAGCTTTTGAAATATTCGACTGCAATTTTAGACAGTAAAGCATTTTCAAAAGATAAACTTTGAATAACTAAGTTGCTTAAGTAGTCTGAGGTAGAAATCGTAAGTGAAATCAAAGTATATTGCCAAATCAATCGACGAATAGTCATTAAAATGGAACTCGTGACAAGCTGATTTATTTTGCTGTTTATTTTATACTACTGTTATTTTTTTCAGTAGCGTATGGTTGTCCAATGCGATTTGCAAGTTATTGCTTCAAGGATAATTTAACCAAACATCCAAAGTACAACTAAAATAAGAGATCTAGAGAATATTCGTGAAGAAAACTGGGCATACGACAACACTGGATTTTTTCAGAATAAAAATCAAGTCGTCTTCCATTAAGTTTTCATTTTCTAGTTTGCTAGCAACTCTCTGCAGCGGCCAGTTAAAGGACTAAGTAGGAATGGTTGGAAGGAATTTATTTCTTTTGGTGACGATTCTACTTATTTCCCTGTTTTCACCAACACTTATCATGAAATGGCCAATGAATTGTTCTCTTACTCTTAAGAAATTTAAATATACGACATTGGAAATTGAAATTTATTCTAAGATGTTTCAGATCATTCATAATCCTCAAAAATATCTTCGTGATAAATCATCACTGATACTGGATAAATGTTTGCGTTGGACAGTATGGACTTTTGTGGCGAAAACTTTGTCACCGTCTGTGGATATGCATGATATCGTAAGAAAACTAAGATTAAGACTTGCGCATCATATGGTGACTTTAATCATTGACAGGCTTATTAATTTCATAGTTCAACTGCAAATGTTGCAGTTTTTCACTGCTTAAAATGAGCTCTTAACGAGTTGACTTGAGGTTTCGAAGAATTTTTCAAACCAACTTTTATATTGAATACTACAAATTTAAATAATAGCAAGTTCTGAACACTATGTTACTTCTTGCAACAATTCTCAGTCTTGGAAAAGTCTCCACGGTTCTCAAAAATTTTTCTGTAAACTTTTTAGTACTGATAAGACATTTAAGTAACTTAAAAGTAGGCGAATAACCTTCATTGGTAGTCTATGTTTGTAGTCCGATGTTGGTTTTTGCGTGGAAGTCAAATCTTCTATTATAAAGCAATTTTATTTATTCTCCACTGCATTTGTACCTACAGTTCTTTGAGCCCGTTGCTGAAGTGCTGCATGTAATTTAAATTATAGATGAAACAGTTTTCGAAATTAAGTTGCCTTTTAGGTAAACTATCAAATTCTATTTGAACTTACCATTTGATATGCTAGATAAGATGATGAATAATTCTATGTAGAGTTCATTTCAACTACAAAAGATCTAGTGCTGCTTTATTGGTGTCCGTTAGTCACTTTGACAATCATGAGGTCTGTAGGACACTACATAGGAATGCAGTGAGTTCCTTTCAATACAATTTGTTTATTCAGTTTGTTCATTAGTGTTTCATTTACAGCAAGTAAAAGCTCACTCTAGATGAGAATTCGGTGTTCAGGATATTGGTTACACCTTCATAGACTGATGATTTATGATTTTTATGTATTTACCTCATCAAAGGAAAAAAATGTTGGTTATTGCAATAGCACAGAGCACTGTAATTATGTTTTTTTTTATAGTGAGTTATTTGGATGATAATATAATCCCCTAAATGAACTAATCGTTTGACGGGAAAATCTGTAGATGTTTTGTTTCACGATATTGTCACATTAAGAACAAGAGAGTTATTTATTTTCTATTTAGGTTGGTGTATTCATCTTTAAAATTCTTATAGGAATCTAGTGCAGTGTTTTTAATGAGTGGAGTAGACCTCACAGGTTCAAGAAAATAAGCAAGTTCTGCTCCAAGTACATTAACTGTTGTAGTTAAAGTGCAAAGATTCAGTTGGTAGCGAGAAATGCCTATCATAATGTCTAGGGTTTACACTACTGGTAGATATGAATAGATTTAATTCATTACTGATGAAAAATTAAACTTGATGTCAAAGTAAAAGTGATTTGAAATACCAGTTTTTTGTTTGTAAGTTTCCAAACTCAGAAGTATTTCAGAAGGGATGTCTTATTTCCACAAGTTCTATGAAAATGTAAGTGGCTGTTAGGGATGCTAGGAAGATAGAGATTTCGGTTTTCAGAGTGAAGCACAGTGGACTGTCTTAGCGGCTTTTCAGTCAGTCGTGTCATTTTCACTTTCAACTGTGAGGGGTCTACTTCATAATAATAAACAGAAATTCTAAAATATTTCTTTATTTGTGAATAGCACGCAGTCAAAGAGCAATATTTACTGATGACTTTTCGAGTAAAATTTATTGCTGCTAACTATGTCAAGCAGATCATGCAACTTTCTTGTCTAGTTCTTACAGTTCTGTTGCTTTTCATTCTTTGATTTAATTGGTGGTAAGTTTTCCCACACATCCGGAATCGACGACATGTCATTTTTACTTCATACCTTGAGTACCGATTCGATAAACAAAGCTTCAGTGATCAACTTGTCTTTCTTTGTAGTCGAGTTTTTTTAAGTGTCAGTCTGTCTCGTCATATTGCGTGATTATATGTAAAAGTTAGCCAGGCTATGGCTGATATCTTTACTAGATTTCTTATTTGCTTGTCTTACTATATGAATTCTACTTAAAATTCTACTGGTCACAAAGCAATACTGTTTCATTGTATGACACATATAAACTTTAAAAAAATGTGTTTGAAATATACTCTTATTCTTCCATATTAGATTTGTTTATTTGATTTATAACACACAGTGATCTAGTATTACTTACTTGATGATGTTTCGAGCATAAATTATTGCTCATAATCATACCAATGTAATCACACTACTTTTAACATTCGATTTCTATAGTTATGCCACTTTATATGAATTGTTTTTATTGGTAGCAAAATTTTCCATATTCTATAACAGACCTAAATAAGATCAATAATCTAGAAAAAAACTCGGCTATTGCATTGCATGCATTAACACATAACCATACAATAGGGTGGGATAAAGCCACTATACTTAAGTCCAATATAACTGAGTGGAGAGAAAGATTGATCACTGAATCTTTGTTTATCGAATCAACACCCAACACATGTAGTAGAAATGATGCAACATCTATACCAGAGATATGGAAGATTTTATTACCAATAAAAACAACTCATATAAATTGACATAACTATAGAAATCGAATGTCAAAAGTAGTGTGATTACATTGATATGATTATGGGCAATAATTTATGCTTGAAACGTCATCAAGTAAATAATACTAGATCACTGTGTGTTATAAATCAAATAAACAAATCTCATATGGAATTAATTTCTACCACATTACCCACATTTTACACCTATATTAATACTCTTATTCTCTTTTCTTACTAATGTGAAGAAAAATTAGTTTTTAAAGCAAAATTAGGCCTTGAACTGTCATATATGGGTTTTAAGGATAATTTATGTGACTTATATTCGGAAGCAGTAAATGACAATTTGATATATTAGTCAACTGGCGTTGAGTTACAGTCTACGAAACCAACTAAATCATTTTCCACTGTAATATTGAGTGCATCAAGAAAGTGGAAATGCCTATTAAATTGGAAGTTCCCTGTGGCCATCATAACCCAGGGACCTGGTGGATGACTCTATGGTGTTCGAAGAGATGCACTTTGGGTTTTTCCTATGGCGAAAACATCGCCAATCACCGGAATGCAGGTAAATCCAGTTGACGCTGAATGGTTATTAGACTAATGTCACAGTTTGCTGTCAAAACCGTGGAAAACTAGTAAGCCGAGTTGTTTAATTAATTGATAATTTGTAGTGACCGGGTAATTTCAAAGTAGTTTTCATCATGGACTGCAATCACCAATTGAATTATTATCCAGTACTCATCGAAGACCAGATTTAACATAAATTTCTTACAGTTTCTATTAGAAGTCGTGACTTATGAAGTGAACTAAGTTGAAAAGTGAAGTGCATGTTACCCAAGGCATTGTATTTTTGTCGAGTTATATCCTGAATGGACCGAAGTATCAATATTAGGCTTCTGGATTATGTCCCAGTGACTAAATGATAATGTACTGGCCTCAAGACAATGTGATTCTGGGCCCAATTCCCATCCGCTTTTTCAGTGTATGGAGTTGAAAAGAGATCTACTCACTGTTTGTTAGATATTTACCGATTTCCAAAAAATTACGGCAAATGTACTTTGAATTAAGTGGGAAGGTTGAAGGAGTTAAAGTGAAGAGTGTGATTAGGTCCCTACTATTAAAGCATTTTCCAGTGTAAATTTAATGAGGATGGTGTCTTAGAAATGTGACAAGTATAATTTGTTTGGTTTACGTCAGTCTGAGACTGAATATACAGCCTTTTCTGATATGTTCTAAGTTTTCAGAATAAATGATTGAAATTTTCACATACGGTTTATACGATAGCTTCAACTACGGGTTTACTCATCAGAATTATAGGTAATATCACTAACTGATTTTTATGAAAACCATTTTGTTTAAAGTCTGTAAAATGACGTGAAATATGCTGATGGGCTTACAGAGAGTAGAATGCTCAATTCTTGTTACCATCTGAATTCTACAGAGTAGGTTGAGAGATAGGCATTAAAACTTCAGTTTGTTTCTTGCTTTTCTAGTCTAGAAAAATACTCACGATTGATTTTGCTAACTGGATGAGATTTACAAACAGAATGACACTTTAACGATGTCATTTTTTATTCTTGGAAGTTAAAAATGACAGTTTGTTTGCTGACTCTTATCTGAAAAGTGTTTACAAACGATCAGGTAAGTCATTTCCCATCATTACCAGCTACCAGAAATTTACAAAAATATAGGTTGTTCAAAGCAGAAAGCTTACGGACAGAGTAGTGGATGCTTAACTTAAGAACACAAATATGTCAAAAAAACGTATGTCATAATACAGACACTTACTGTCGTCCTATCTCATCACCTGTGATTGATTCATGCCTTGAACTGTAATATGAGTGTCCCGAATTTGTTTCTTGTCTATAAAGAAACGACCCACGACGTCCTGTGATGTGTTGAAGCACCAGATTACTGCCTCGATGCTCTTCATATCGAAACTGACATCCTTCATTGGCACCTGCATCAAAACTAATTAAAAATATGCAAAAATGATTGTTTATTTAGTGTATTCATCTACAAAAATATGTATTAAGGGATAAGTTATTAAAAGCATTTTCTTCATATCAATGAGCAAATTAGTAGGCTTATTTGCATTCGAAAGATTTTCGTGTTAAATATATACTACTTAAATTTATCTATGTAATAAATTTTGTTAACAAGAAATTCACGTCAAACAAATAAGTAACTTGAAATGACGTAACAGAAACGGTGGTACCCTAAAGCACTTCTGCTTCAAGTAATCATCCGAGAACAAACATCAACATCAAGGTTTTAGTTAGTTACTTACTTGAGCAGCCAAAACAAGGGCATTCAGTTTCCATGGCAGTTATAAAACTAATGTCATAGGATTCTACATTGCACACCTTTTCAGAAGCCACTACTTCCTCTTAATAATGACAACTAGGAGGAAGTTATTTGATGATTGATCGCTCAGAGGTGGTCCATGTTAAAAGGACTTAGGCTTCAAATTAAAGTGATTAGTCCGTTTTCGTCAGTTCATTGTAAGTAATCCAGTTCCTAGTGAGACGGTTGTCACTCAAATCTGCATAATAAGTTCAATCCATTGACAATGACTGGTTAAGATGCCTCATATCATTCGGTGACATACATTGTAGTTCCCTACTCGCTCTATTTATGTTACATAGAGAGTCAAAAAATCACACCCTGTAGTCTACAAGTCCTGGTTTCCAGAGTAAACAGATCTTAAGTGACTTGACTGAGATATATATCATCAGAGAATGCGGACCCTTCAGATATTGCTCTTTATCATTAGGACTTTTCAATCTTCAAAACTGTTTAAAGATTTTGAAGATAACAACATTTAAAAGATTATTACTTTCACAAATTGATGTCAAACGTTAACATTGTTTTTGTAATGTAGCGGTGCTTAAAAAAACCGATCATTTCTGATATGACAAAATGATCAGAGAGTAAAGTATTCGATGAAGTGTAGAATATCATGATATTTTTTAACTTTGGACTTAAATGGAATATTCAGCCAAATAAATGATGAACTAACAGTTTACTACTGGACATTGTGAGTAGCAGTCAGAAACCATCTATGCTGAAACGTACATTTTACTAATTGAATCAAAATGATGAAAACATTGAACAGACTTTTCTCTAGTTTCTAACAGCATATACCAGAGATTTACCTGGGTAAATTTAGCCGACAGAGTCGAATCATTTAAACCAAATAAATCTTGTTAGCCAACCTTGATAGACAGGTATACCCTGAGTAGGATGATTAGTTTGCAAATTATTTGCCAACTGAACAGTTTAAGTCCATCAGCTGAGTTTTGAAACTAATTATCTCTGTTCAACAAATTTTGAGTCACAAACAGCCCAGTCAGGATTATAAAGTGTAATCTTTTACATATAGTTTTTGTGAGATGATCAGCTATTTGAATTTCTTCAAATAAACCGCTGATGAGCTGCTTAACAAACGAGGCAGACAGCAATTTGAATCCTTGTGATCTGGCCATTGAAAACTACTGATCAGCAAGAATAGTTTCTAACCCTCGTTGGTGTGCAATTTACTCCAACGTTAAAGATGGAATCTTTGAGCTCAGAGGACACAACACTATCAAAATTGTCCTTCTGAGCTACAAATATTCCCTATCAGATCACACTCTGTTTTCTTGTCTGAGAGGTTTTGATGGAAAAGCTGTTGACACACAGGTGGGTCGTTGAAAATAAATACTCAACAGAGAGAAGTATCGATGTGGATTGTGCAAATTGTAGATAAGCGTTAAAAAGTGGTCTGACAGTTTATCTTTCAAACTTTCATAGTTTTACTTGGTTATATGGCTAGAATAATATTGAGCTATCATCTAAACTTTGAAACCGATTTCAATCAATTGAATGGATTGATCCCTTTTGATTGATCGGCTAATCGAACAGATGTTTTAATGATTTCGTGAGTTAAACTATGATACTGTTTGCTTGATGTGGTAAATATTGGAATGTAAACTTTTTCGGCCGACAAACTGTTGTATTTTCGGTCCTATTAAGAACACTAAGGCATGTAAGTAAATTTGGTTCATCAACTTCACAAATCATAAAGATCAATCCTGAATTTTAATGGTTTATTTGTTGTGAGTTATTGACTAGTCGTGTCAAAGTTTGTTAAAAGCTATGCGAAGCTTACACTGGAAGTGATTTACGCTAACATTACTCAACTGCCGGTCCATGAACCATGTTTGCTTGTGCAGTGGTTCAATTCAAAGTGTTTTTGGTCTATTCATGATTATAAACAAATGTTTGACTACTGAGTACTTTCAGGTATTGGCTATGTATAATGAAGGTGACAATGACTGAACTAAAAAACGGAACATTTTGTATTAAAATGACAAGCAGATTAAAAGAAATCTGGTCTTCAATTAGGTTATTCAAACTAATCAGTGCATAATGAACTGATAATCCTGAGGCTACTGGTTTAACTATTCTAAGTACATAGTTTAACACACAACATTTATTACCAAAGGTCGGTGAAGTTGTAAAAATATTCAACTCATTGATACATTATCATCTAAGTTAGCATAGAACCAAGCATTACTGCGTTAACGGTAAGAGTTTCCACACCTCATGTGATGAAGATAGCGTTTGCACATATCTGAATCATTGGGATCTATTCGGAGCGATACCTCCTATATTCTGGAGTCACTGGTTTATGTTGTCGACGAATTTTTGTTTTAGTCTGGCTATCACGAACATTATTCTAGCCTGCGCTTACCTTGGCCCGCACCACGTGACAGAACAGACGATGACTAGGAATGAGTAATGCATGTCCCAGGTGCCTTAGTAGACAAAGGTTCATAACCTCATGCACTTACTTCCCTCTCCTCGCTGAAACTCTACACCTGATGTGGTGACACCACGAAACACAATCTGTGGTGCGAAGGCAACGGTGGTTGGAGGCTTGAAGCCTTCTCACATCCCCTACCTTTCACATCTATGATTCACAGCCATACAGCAGAACAAAGCGAACTGCGGCACAGTAAACTTGACTTTTAGTAGATAATCAGATATCACGGAGGGTTCACAGATGGAGTAAGTTAGTGAAAGCCAGTTAGGCATTTTTTATCCGTGCAGAGATATCATCGGCCACCAATCTACCAGCAATCATCCGATTTCTGAGTTAAGCGAAGTGGTGAGCACGTTCAACTACTCCACTATTTATTTTTAGCTGGGCCACCTTCATAGATCAGTCTGGGAACAGCGATTTGCACTTGGGTGGTGATAAATTCACCTCAAACATCCTCAAGTTGCCTCTCATGATATGCAGAAGGCTATGAATCTTGTTAGCGTTTTCACCTAGCAGGACTATGTCATCCCATTACTCGAGATCTACCATATATTCTCCTGTGATCAGATGGCGAATACTTAAAAACGATTCATTCAAGAAGCTGTAATATTTTAATCTTGATGATATGTGTAGTTGTTATTTAAAAGGTAAAGTTACGATAACAGTTAGTTAGCTGAAGATAAAATAAAACCACTTAATGGGAAGAATATCAAGCAATATTATTGGGTGAGGATTGAATGAGAAATGAAAAGTTGAACCATAGCTGGATTTGACTCAGCAATCTTCACTCACTACTCAGTATCAATACGAGTCTGTCAAACCCTGGCTACCTCAGATATTCAGAATGATAATCAAGTATTAAGTTGTACAGTAACTCATCACGCACTGCTAATACTTTTTGGAGTAGTGAAACTCGTTATGTTCAACATGAAGGATAATGAGGATGGACAATGTTTTAAGATAAAAACGAACATCTGTGTAGACCATTGGAGGATTATAAAGTCACGCAATCCAAGATGATAAAAATTTGAAAAGTGCAAACTAAGTTCAATGGTGTAACAGTTGTCACAAGAAATACACCATCATACATCATACAGAAAAGGTGTAATTATGATAATAAAGTACACTGATTTACCTGTGCTGATTACGATTTATAAATGTTGATGCATGCATGGTATGAAGTTTACTTTAATATACTTTAGTAAATTAAAGTCTGTCTAACTACTACAAGAAATATGTTAGGCAGATTAAAACCATATTTATCGCATTATTGCACTGCTGGATCTGACTGCCTAGATAAAGTTAGCTCGAACAATTAAGTCTTTAACTATGATTTAGTATATTAGAAGAAATATGAATGTTGATAATGTACTACAGGGCACTGTAGATGTGACCGAACAGCTTATATGAATGATTTAATCCACTGATAGAGAATTCTCAACCGCTTTTCTCCTTTCAACTCAACTAAGCGTATCATATAATGATTACAGTATGCGTTGTACAGTGAATCATTTCAAATCGTTGGTTTAAGAACTAATACATCTGAGAATTCTTCACCACAATACAGATTCACCTGGTTCTGAAAAATTAATACCCTTGATTTCACGCTATTCCAAACCAAAAGAATTCAGTACATCAGAGATAAACTAATAAACTACATTTACAAACATTGAATGTTGGATGAGATGTAAGGCGGCTTAAAAAAGCTAGCTCATTCCGTTTTGAGACTCTTTACTAATACTTGTAATCATCATTCTCTTCATAGAGGCTGCTGTTGTACCTGGCAGAAGTGAATCCGATGAAGTACATTCAAAAGTTGATCTAACTCATTATTAGACAGTGCTATAATTTTGAGCGTCATCCGTATTTTATTATAATAATTTACTTAGCTTGCCTCAAAAAGTGTGTTCAAACCTATGAAATAATATATATATATATATATATATATATATATATATATATATATATATAACGCGAAAAAGTTTGCCTCTAGGGTATGTGAAAACCTAAAACAATTACAAAAATCTTCAAAAGATAACTATTTAGACATGCTACAAATTCTTGAGCTTTAGAATAAACAATAACAGAATTTGAGCTTCCTACACTTGAGTAAACAACTGACTGTAGATGTGTACACTTATGCCATATTCCCATTTTCCTA